TGTTCATTACACCGTAACACATTAATCGCATCATTAGGAGAAAAGACTTAGTAAAAATAAAATGCTGGCTCCCCAGTGGGAACCAGCAGTCCTCCCAGCCATGCAACCCACCTGAGGAAAGGGGCTGCCAGCCAAAGACAAACGGGAAAGATGACTGCCACCCCCACCCCTTGCTGCCAACTGGATGAGAGGGCTGCCCATCATGCAGCCCTGCTCCTCCTCCAATCAGCAACAAGAGGCAGGGCTATACAACAGACCACCCTCTCCACCAATCAGAAGCGGGAGACATGGCTACTCAGGCCCCTCGTCCAGTCAGAGGACTGAGGAGGGTCTCAGCAATGATCTGCCCATGAAATCAGCCAGCACCATGATCTGCCCATGAAAATCAGCCAGCTGTCTTCCTGAATTGGGTAGACTCCTACCCATAATTGACTGTGTACCAGTGGACTGTCAGCATCAGGACAGCTCCAGTTCCAATGCAAAAGTCAGTTGCTGGGAGAAAAAGAAGCAAGGTTTCTCGGCAGGGGAGGGGAAGGAAACCTCAGAGATGAATCTTTGTAAGTGGGAAAACCCTGACTTTCCCCGCTTACCAAGATGTGTCCCTGAAGACCCCAGAAGGTCCATCTAGGTAAGTAAGGAAAGTGAGGCAGATGCTGGCCAGGTTTGAGGATTTCCTAAGGTGCTCAGAACCAGATCCCTCAAGCCTCCAAAGCCCCTCCAGGGGCAGCTGGAGTACACCCACATAGGCAGCCTGCACTCCCACTGTAAATAAATAGGTATCCACTGCAATCAAGCAGCATAGTTTATAACTAAATTTGAGAATTCCTGGTGTGACAAAGGATAGAGAGGTCTATTTGCTTTGCACCATTGTAAATTGTTATAACAGTATAAAAGCAACAAAAGGTGACGTCTGCTTCTACCCACAGTATGACAGTGCACATCCAGCCCCCTCAGTATAGCTTCATTTCATTTCCAAGTAAATGCAGAGTGGGACTAGGTGAGTCATGTATGCTCTAAAGCGGCACCTCCCACAGAATGCCTGGGGAAAGATGCAGATATACATTAGCTGTTGCAGAAGTTAATGGCTTCAAATTAACTTTTCCTCCAAATCAACCGTGGACAAGTAGACTTTTTTCCCCAGGAATTTAAAAAAGGGGGGGAGGGGGTTGGGCACAAGTGAAAGGGAAAATATTTTCTTCTCAGGCATCTCTCTAGATTCCACAATGATGGTTAGAAAGTGGTATTTAGAGGTTTGCTTTTGGGAACTGGCTTTTAGGTCAAGTAGACATGCATTAGAAGAATGGTCCATGGGGAATTGCAAGGGTCAATTGATTTCTAAAAGTCTGCTTGTGACAAAGTTTCCTTCAGGGCACACTGTGTCTGACACAGGCAAGCAGCAAGCAGACACACAGGCTGGGAAACTGAAGACATGTGCCACACTGCTCCATAGCATGAACAGTGTACCCAGACTGAGATAAGAGGCTCTGCAAGTCAAGATGCAAGTAGATGGACCAAATTCAGGGAAACTGGTAAATAACTGAATTAGGATGTGTGCATGTGATGGGTTTGTGAAACAAAGGAAGAATATGCTGACAGGACAGAATGTGGACAGTATGACGACCATAGAGAAACCAATCAAAAGTCAGAGGAGGAAAGGGATACAAAAGGAGGGATTTCAGAGCAGCAAAGGGTCCCTGAGAGGGGAACCCAAGGCAAGCATAGACAGGGGGCACACCACCAGCCTGTCTCATCCACCCTACTGGAAGGGTGGGCCTCAGTCTTTGACCTTCAGGCTGCTGACGTCTAGCATTCAAGAGAAACTCAGGGAGAAGCTCGCATACTGGCCAGATGTACCTTGAGCGACAGCTCTAGGACCGGTAGGTGTAGAATTGTTTGCATTATTCTTATCTGCTATCACTGTATATCAATAAAATTAACCTATTATCCAATGGAGAGGTAGTGGTCAGTCTGAGGGTTTGGGTCCACCAGAAACAAGGTCATAAATCCAGTGCCGCCAAACTGCTAAGAGTTAAACTAGAAACAATGTTGTTGTAGGTCAACCATTACTCTTTCACCAGGTGCAAGTTGCTGCATGACAGTTCTATTAAAGAGTTACCTTAAACCCTCTCCCATTAGCTCCCTTAATAAACAGACAGCTACATTTGTTTCAGTTTTAGAGCCAACACTAACTATATTTTCTTGAGAAATGTCATTATGCATTCAGAGTATTACACTAGTTCCTCTGTGTAACATACCATTTTTAGTTAAATGCCATAAGAGTTGAAATGACATTTAAACAAACAGAACTACTGGTGTTTTATATTCTGAATATAAAACGTTTATACAACAAATTCAGCTGAAGTCTGTAGTGAAAGAAAGCTGTTAGCATCTCACAGCAGTTTGGTGGTTTCAATCTAGGTCAAAGGACAAGTGTTCACATTACAAAGCTGTCAAAGCAACTGGAAGTAATTTGCATTTTCGTCCGCAGTCTCAGCAAGAAGGCCAAAGGCCAAAAGGATATGGGGACCATACTGCTAGATCCATCGTCTTTGACCAAGCTCTGTTACAACCACATTTGCTCTGATCACACCAGCCAGGATCCATACCTTGGGGACCTGGAATAAGGATTCCTACACTTACAATACAATCTCAAAAGTATAGCCACTCAGATCAACAGAGCCATATTGAAACCCCACTCTGACCTCTCACTGTATCAATCCTGTGAGAAGGATGACAGAATCCTTCTAGCTGTCACCTACAATCCCCAGTTTGAACACTCAAGACATCATTAATGACCTCCAACCCCTCTTGGAAAAATATGAACACCTCAAGGTAGCCACATGGGATAAACCTGTCCTGGCTTATAGACAGCCTCCCAAGTTCAAATGATATCTCTGCAGCAGACTACTTGCCTCCTATTCTCACCAACAGGAACCTCGCAAGAGGTTCCCAGATGCCAGCTGTGTCCCCTTATTAACACAGACCACATACTTACTGGGACAAACACTGATTTTAACATTGAGGGTTCATTCACTTACTCTTCTACCAACACCTTACAGAGTCACCGGCTTCCAGTGCCCCTCTGCTGTCTACATTGGACAGACAGGGCAATCCCTACATGAAAAAGTGAATGGACATTGATCTAAAATCAATTCCAGAAAGACATAGTAGCCTGTGGCAGAACACTTTAACCTCCCTGGACAGTCAGTCAATTGCTATATTTACCTGAATCCAAGATGACTTTGAATTTAAAAACAAAACTTATAATTGTCCATGCATAGAATCTAATCATTAAGTGTTCATATTAAATTAGCTCCCTCCTGCCCTATCACTGCAGCAGGGAGACAGGTGGCCTGCCCCCCAACCTGCCACTTACTCTATGCATGCAAAAGCTCTGGCTCTGGCCCAGGTCAAGGAGCACACAGGGGTACTCGCCCCATCCTCAGACAAGCAACAGTGATAAGCCCAGTCCCGGAGCCGCAGTAGTTTGCCTGCACTCCCTCCAGGCCAGTTTCTACTGCATCCCTCCCCGTTCCCTCTACGTGGTTTCTCCCACTGTAAAAACTACCTTGGCCACTCCAGGCAGCAGCAACAGCTCCAGGCAGCAGCTACAGCTGTGCTTTCAGCCAGGGCTGAGTGAGGCTGGAGCCATTGCCTACCCTGGGTCAATAAGCCAGCACTTGAATCCAAGACAAGGCACATACCATCTCACCCTCCCCTCCCCCCTCCCCATGTTGAATGGGGGAAAAACCTGATTTTAGAGGAAAAAACAATTTGATAACAAAATTCTGTAACAAGGGATCCACAGACTGGATTGTGCTTATTCTGGTCTGAAGAAGTGTATCTACACGTGTGCTTTACTGCAAGAGTTGACTAATTAGCTCCACAGTAAAGCTTCACAGTCTGCAAGTGCACTGGTATTAGGGGATGGTAAACTAGTTAACTCTACTGTAGAAAGTGATATCAGGAACAGTATTATCTTACAGCAAGGTACTTACCTGCACTGAAATGCACGTGTAAACAATGACCAGATGAGGGCCAGACTCCTAGCTGCCACCTAGCTTCACAGGTTCTGCATCCTCATGCCCTAGCCAGCCCCTCTGCAGCCTGATGCCACCACCTGGAGATCAGGGCTGACACCCTGTGCCTCCTGCCAGCCTAGGTATCCCCTGCCCAGCTCAAATAGCTGCTGTCATGGATGCACCCAGCAGCAGTTCACTCTGACTCAAAAGTACTCCAACATTTATTTCTTCACCTTAATTGCACATGTAGATACACCCAATTCTTGTTCCATTACTTGAGCTACCTTTTATAACCCAAATCTCTCTCAATGAGAGAACTGCTTTGTTTAATCCTTCACCTCAGCAGTGCTCCTTCCCTTTCCTTTTCTAAATCCCTTGCATTTAAAGTGACCATATTCCTTTCTATTCAGTACCTCTGCTCTCTGCAAGTCCCTTCATAGCATCTGATGAAGAAGCTGTGGCCTATGAAACTTTATGTCCCTCTATACAGGTTAGTTTGAGATGCCATGCTGCCCTGTGTTCTATTTTTTCCATGGCAAAGGTGACTCCAAAAAAAACCAAAAAACAATCAAGACTCAAGCTCACTTGCAAAACAGTTTGGCATGCTGTACCCCGACTGTTCACACACAAAGAACTTCAATGCCATCAGTTTAGCATTTCTTCTAACAGTTTGCTACAAATAAAAACAGATAAATAAAATCTATTACTAATGACAAAAAATAAACTTTGAAAGGATTGTTTAGTTTTGGTAAACTCTGTTATCTTCTTGAATATGCTAAATTGAGTCCACTGTATAAGGGTATCCAGTCCCTATGAATGACCAGGAAGAGTTGCCGGGTGGGGGACAGCAGTTAATAATGTGACTGGACCAGAACAGACAAACAGAAGTAAGGCTGGCTTGTTGTCCACTGAAAGTAGAAACACTGTTTCCTGACTGGCAAAGATAAACAGAAATCAAACTGAAAACATTTATTTGTTAACAGAATCAACTATAGTTTATTCTCTTTGAGTTCAAACAATAACTACATTTCAAAAAAAAACAAAACAACCCAGAAAACAAAACAAAAAATGTTGACAAAAGGAGTCTCTGCATCTGCAGAACAAATACTTAAGCTCAGCCACTGTTTAAATAAAAGTTGGCTCATGCGAACCAATACAAATCTATATACAGAAAGAATACATTTTAAAGAAAATATTTAATTAACAAGAAGCCAGATATTATACTCAGACTTCCTCCTCCACAATGAAGAGGAGAAACCTCAAACTTACTGCTCATTTATATGACATACAATATGCTAATGTTACCCATGTAATAAAATGACAGTGTGTCAATGCTGCAATCTTTACTCTGGCTCACATCCAGCAGATTTCAAATAAGAACAGAATTACACTCTAAATTTACCACTGACTATCCTGAGTGAAAGATTAAGCATACAAACCTAAATTTTCAAAAATTGAGTTTCTACAGTTAAATAACAAGAATCACAGTTTCTACAAAAGTTATGGACTGTTAAGTATACCAATGGGAGCTGGTGAAGACAAATGCCTCAAAATCAGAACATTTATTTAATGGCTGGTATGTGGATTTCAGTGCATAATTCTAGGCTCCCATATTTGAAAGTGTTTGCTGGAATATATAAACAAAAGTTAAAATTAAATGCATTTTCCCTGAGCTAACAGCACTGTAAACCATCAGTTTTAATTGTATACAATTGTATTGGTAGAACTCTTCCCCTTGTGAATTACCTTAAACCATGCATCATTCATCTCTGTTTTGTAATCTAAAAATCTTTTAAAACCTGAATAAATTCCCTGGAATTAGAAAAAAAAAACAAAAAAAAAAAACTCTACCTAAGTTTTCTCATTCTTCAAAAGTATCCTCCACAATCTGTAAGAGAACAGCACAGAGGCATAGTCAACACTAAGGCTGTGCTGCCTTGTCACTGAAACTTTAAGACTGTGGTTTTTCAAAGCAGATTTTAGCTTTCAGGAACTGTGTAGATCAGAGTGGTGATAATAATGTTTTATTTACATATATCCACAAATTAATAGTGCACATTTAGAACAGTTTCAAAAGGGGAAAGCTTCAAGAGGACAGCAGTTGCATTCTAATTCTGTATAAACCACCTGAGAAAAAAACAAATATAGCAAAACCATTCCAACTTAAATGCTGCTTCATCCAGGGTAGAAGTTGAGTGGTTTTGCTACAATTATATCATTGTATTATGTTCACATGCAACTAAAATGTGATAGCTGCTGCCCTTTTTAAATGGCTCCAAATATGAATCCACACCCAGAAACAGAATGTCACTCTTCACCATCTCAGAGGGTAAGGTATAAAAGTGACATTGATCTTTTTCCTTTTTTTCTTCCCTCCCATCATACCTAGTAACTGGCGCAGATATTAAGTATCTATGGTACAGTTACAAGGGAAACTATGATTCAATTTAGTAATTTTCAGAAAAAAAGAGCATAAAACAACTTGTAACATTTGGATTACAGAATCATTTGAACTTTTAATTATCAAAAAAATAAATTAGTTATCTGCAGGACATTTTTTTAAAAAGTTATCTGCAGAAATTATTAGTATCAGTAGTTTGTTCCATACCAGCTGTTAACTTTTTTGGTGCTTATGTAAAGGATTAGATTCACTATATAATATTCCTTGGCATTATCCATCCACACAAGCTCAATGTGCACTTTTCCATCTGAATCCACATAGTTTATGTCATAGATGTGCCCCATGTAGTCATAAAGGCCAGATGTCTTAGAAGACAGTCTCATGTAGACTGGGGCACTGAAGCACCAGAAGGGTTTTTCAATTTCATCCAAGACGGTGATATCCATCATGTAACAGTTCTAAAACACAAGCAAAAAATATTTACTTATGTTGTGCCATTTGATTATGCACGTGCACACGCATAATGTATACACAAAATATTTGAGATAGTGCCGAGCAGACAAAGTCTGAAAGCAGCACTGGGGCACATGCTTGAGGTCCCTCCAAGCCACTGATGCTGATGCTTTTCCAGGCTTAGTCATTCAGTGAACACAAGCAAGTGGAGCCTGCGTATCAGCCTCAGTCCCAGATTTCACAAAAGTTGCACAGAGTCAGAAACATCCTCCAGTTTCTCCCCCTCTATGAAATGGCACAGGATTTAATTCCCAAAAGGACAAGTATGATATTGAATACTACTCTTTAAGTTACCTGCAACAATTCAGTAGCTATACTATAAACTGAGATCTTAATATTGGGCGACACTGTTAGTGTCCTGTTGTTGGACCTCTTGCATAAAATAAGCTAATTATGAATATCTGAAGTTGAATGGTCTTGATGAGTGGTTCTCAACTGAGATGCTGCACTGTTACTGCCGCAACAGCAACCAGGTAAAATTGCCCCATGCACAATTCTGCTTTATGAGAGATATCATCTGCCAAAGAAGACCCAAATGATTCAGCTGTAGCCTTCTCCATCCCACCCAGGACTGCCAACTATCCATAACATTTATGGACGGTCTGTAAGAAGTCCATCTAAAAATCACTTTTCCATAAACTCCATAAAAAAATCCTGAGCTTGTTTCAAGATTTGTTGCATGAAGAAGCTACAGTCAAGCATCAATGCTGGGCAGAGAGCAGAGCAGCACCACCTGGTGCTTACACAGGAGCTCTGCTTGACACCCTGCAGCAAACTATCTGTCAAGGCTTTCTGGCTCACTACAACCTCCATAGTTCCTTGTAGATGGGACAGGGCAGAGGGGCTGACAGAGAGAGGCAGCAGATGGAGATGTGTGCTGGAACTGGAGGAGGGGGTGGGAAATAAGGCTAGTGACTGGGTTTTGGGGGTAGCATGGTGTAAAACCCCAGCAGCAGTCAAGTAGGGTTGCCAACTGAAGGTTTAAGTAAAATGTTTGTAGACCGTCGGTTAAAAGAATAAAATAAACATTCTTGTGTTGGCGTACATGGGCCCTCCAACACACTCAGGAATAGAAGCATATGGGCCAGTTCCACCTGTGCACTTTTTTCAAGGATGAGCACAGGAAGCACCAGACCAGGAAGAGCTACAGAACATGAAGCAGCTCCTGCCTACTTTAGGCTGATCACGGTCCTAATGCAGCAGAAGTGCGCACATGTGTCATAGGCTTTCCCAGACAGGGAAAGCCTGTCAACTTGCAGGCAGTTTGCTGGGAGCAAGAAGGGAAGAGAAGACAGGCACCAGATCCTGCCCAGGGAAGGTAAGTGATCCAGAGCTGCCTTTGGTTTGCTGAGGGTTTGTTTGGTGGGCTGTGTATGTTTGGGACGTGCTCCAAGAAGCTGGGAGTATTGCTGGCTGAGTGATTGCTGCCTGGGCCTGACAGAAGCCCTAATGAGGGGGGTGGAGCTGGTCCAGGCCCAGTAGCGTATAAAAGGAGACTCCCTGAGCAGCCAGGGAGCCAGAAATCAGCGTAAGCTGATTTTCACCTTATAGAAAAAAAAGTAAGTACATTAAAAATGCATAATCATATTCAAACATGTTTATAAATTCACAGAAGGCTCTCTTTTAGAAATTTTGCATGCCTGTCCTGCCAAAAGAGAGCAACTGTTTGACACAATGGAACCAAGTTAGCGTTTGACCTCTAACACCTGGATTTTAGGAGGTTTTTTCAGTTGAAATGATTTCTCACAAACAAAAACTAACCAATTTTAAATACACATATTAGGTTGTACTTTTATTTTGACATAACTATTTTTTTCCACAAAACCTATTCATTTACCTTTATATTGCCTTCAAGTACAGATGTTTTCCAGAAAAATCCAACTTTCCCAATCAGAGGTAAGTGTTGTGCATTATCTTTTAAACTTATAACTATAATCTTCAAATATCCATTTTGAATGTAATCTGAAAAGAATAACAAACATATCATTATGTAATGACAAATCAAACTAGGCCAGAAACCCTTTGTATGTCCTTATTTCTTTGCTACAATCTCTATAAGCCATGCATTTGTCCTCTACAGATCAATAGAGAATTCTGACATGTATCCAGTAGTTTTCATAACCACCTAGCTATGAAAACAGATAAAGTCAGCATACACAGCTTTGATTCTGGGAGACAAGAATAGATAGAAAAGTTGGGGTTTTTGTTTCATTCAAGTACAGAAGTCTGAAAGCTACCCACTGGCTTCAAGATACAAGCAAATAAGAGTCTCAAGTGAAATAATTCAATCCCGAGTCACCCAATCACTCAACCCTGCAGGTATCACAGAGGTATCGTGTTCAACACCAGGGGAGAAAAGGCAAAGATGCTTCATTACTACTTTGTCTATCTGATACAAAACTAGTTGCAAATGGAGCAAACCAACATTACCTAATATCTATCCTAAATTTGATACTGCTTGCAATCATAAGGAAAGGATTTTTTAATTTTTTTTTAAATGGGAAGTTTTTCTTTTCTAGTAAATAAAAAAAATGTAAATTCTGAGGTTTGATTACAGTTTGGCATTTGTCTTAATGAACTAGTTCTCTGACAAGGAAAGTAAGGGCTTTTTTTGTTATTTTAAGTAAGAGCCTCTTCATAGGACATTTCCCATAAAACAAATCTCTTTAAATACAAGAGATACTAAAGCAGTTGAAAGTTGTTCACTGAGAAGGCAGGCAGGATAATCATCTTCACTATGTGAGCACAAGAAAAGGAAATCAGGAGTGGCTCTCCGTTCATCACCTCAATCATGTACAAACACAGGGTGCCATTCACTCTCGCTGGCAAAGAAAGCAGTTTAAATTACGCTTTCCTGATGGAACTGGCCCTACTCTAGCCAAGAGAGAACCCACTCAAGGGAGGGGAGGTGTTTGTGCATGACTGACTGCTTCCCTCAGGGTTGCTGGGCACAAAGCTGCAACAAGGCTGGACCAGCTCCAGGCAGGAGCTGCCTCTGCAGCCCAGTAGGTGGGACCCAGAACACAAGGGAACACCACACCATCATGACCACCAACGTGAGGTGTAGCAGCAGCATGGAGTTGCACCCCCACTGCTGCTGGGTAGGTAGAGGGTGCCTCAGCTTGGCAGCCATGCCAGTGCGGCGCTCCCTTCCATGCCAGGTCCAGCCCTCTGGGCCATGGACCCCAGGGAGGCGGTCAGCAGGGAGCCCCAAGCCTCCAGCAGGCAGCTTGCAACCTCCGCCCCCACCACTGGCTCTGCTCTGGCCATGCCACCCACAGGGGAGGGGACGTTGGGGGTGGAGTGATGGGAGCCAGACTCCACACACTACATTAGCCACAGCAGCTGCCACCTCCCACAGCAGGGGCTTGGGCCCTGCGCATTGCCAGTGCTACTCACTCCCAGGACCAGGAAGCGGCAGGAGTGAACGACACTGAAGGGGTCGGGGGCTGCAGTGTTGATGGTGAATACAGCAACATCTCAGCCAGGCCTTTAATTGTGACCAAATTAAAACAGTGCATCTTGCACAAAAATACAAAGTGGCAACTGGGACCATACAAAATAGAGCAACCCCAATTGGTTTTATTCTGTGCTACATTATGTCAAATGAAGAAAATGGTCAACAGAGAACTGACACACTTATTATGGATGCAGGAGCACATACCAGCTGCTGAAACTTCCTTAGCCTGATGAAGGGTTTTTGAACCCGAAAGTTTGCTTAATAATTATTTTCTAACTATTTGGGTTGGTCTAATAAAAGATATCAGATTCACCCAAGGAACCTTGTCTGCCTATGTCCTTAGACCAACACGGCTACAACCTACACCCCTGTAGCTTTAAGCAGAGTTTTTACAAATAGAACTTTAAAAGAAGCCTCAATTACCAAGCATTTTCCTCAAAGGGATATTTACTTATCTGCAAATAAGATTCAAACAGGAACAGTCATTCCATGATGCATAAATCCACGCAAAAACAAACTCATGTTGATGGAAACAGAATAAATTGGGGCAATCCATGCTGCCAAAAGAAGGAAGTTCAAGGTATCACCAATATTACAAAAGCAATCACCACATCGGTAGATGGACCACCTAGGAAGCTATTCTGCAAATACCAAATCCCTTTACATTCATTGCTGTACTCTAAGCCAGACCTGATAAAAAGATGATACAGAGTTCATTTCTCTGACCTTTTCATTTGTGTGTGTCAATTCATTTTTTGCAAATAAGAGTTTAGTTTTAAAAAAAAGTTAGTCGTGAACTGAACTTCTAAACCCAGTTTTACGCTTCCTCCTTCTTTGTGGAGGATCAAAAGATTGATAGAGATTTAACTTCTTCAGGGATTTTTCAGCCTTACAGAAATATTCTTAAAAGGTACTGCCCTCACTGACCACATTTCCATGAATGCACCTTCCCACTCCAAATACAATTTTACCCTTTTCCCTCAAAAAAGAGAAAGCCCAAATCACACAATGACAGTAGAAAACATAGTTCATAGGTTATGTGCTTCTGCCCTTGCCAAGATTAGGGATTGCAAGCCAGCTGGGGGTCATTTACAGTTGCATATACAGAGTTGCTCCATCTTTTATTTTTTAAGGGTGCAGCTTCTCCCTTCAGGTGCATGGGACTGCTAAGGAGCTCCAGCAGTGCCCTTTGAAGTAAAAACTGCAGGAAACACCTGTGTAGTCCATCCTTCACTTGGCAACCCTTACAAGTTAACTGGGGCGAGTTACCCAGCTACAAATCCTCTGGGTTCTAGTGTACTTCCTCTCCACTCCCATTCTTTTTGTAAGGCTCTGCTATTGCTCAGGACCTCTCCTGGATGCATTTTTTTTCTTCACACTTCCTGCTAAGCCACCAGCCTTCTAGTTTACGAAAGCCCAATCCACTTCTCACCCCTCTTTGAGAAAAAATGTAGCCACTCTGCTATTCACTGCTGTTCCACCCCAACCCCCACATCCCTGATCAAGGAAAGCTAGTGGCATTTCATCTGCTTTTCAAAATGTTTTAGCCCTGATGTATAAAAATGCAAGGAGGTGTGGCCAGTGGAAAGGGAACTTTTTGCCCAGAAACTCAGGACAAGATGTTCAGGTGAGCTTTCAGATAGGTCTAAGTAACAAGAGGCACAGGGGTAGATCAAGACACAGCAGGCATAAGTCAGAATCTGGTGAAGGTGGTGGAGGGAATGGGACTAATAAGTAATAAACATGCTCAAGCCTGAAAGGCACTTTCAAGTTTTGTTGGAGCCCATATAAATAAGATTGGGGGGGGTGACTTTTTTTGATCATTTTTGTCCCTTAGCAGCATAAGTTCCAGTAGACACACAGCTATACAAAACAAGAGAAATTATTTTTGCTCTTGGAAGTGGTATAACCGCTGTTTGTTCCACTAGGACAACAACATCTCTCCAACAGGAAACTTCATAAGTATAGACATTGACAAGGGTTCAAAAGGCAGGGCACAGCAACAGATCTGAACTGTCATTCAGAGGGATGGGTCTTATAGATGTCAACTAGACATGAAGGGAGGATTTTGATCCCTATTGCCCTGCTAAACAGATTTTCAGGAAGAACTGGGGGTGAGGATCGGAACATAGGTCTGTTAGTTGCTCACATGAAAAAGCTGCAACAGGGAAGGGAAAGGGGAGACTAGGCTTCTGCTCCTTAGCTACCATTCAGCACTTTTTTTTTTTGTGAAAAAAACCACACCTGATCATTGATTTGCCAACCAACCAGTATAGGCTTTGTTGTAAAAGTAAACTGAAATTTGTACAATATTACTGTTACAAGATACAATGTGCAATTTTTGCAAGCAAAAGGTACAGCAGACCCCCGTTTTATGCATATTCAACTTACCAATTTCTCGCATTTACGCAAATTAATATTAACACCCAAGCAGAAAAATACACCCCGAGACGTGCATCATTCGTGTATATACGTGAACACCTTGCGCAGACTGCGTCAGAGTTACGCACACCTTGGGTTCCCAAGCAGGATTCTGGAGGCTCACTCAGTCTCAGTGTTGCCATTGTGATAGCAGCATATGTTTACAATATGTTTTTGTAACATAATAAATAAAGTATTGGTTGAAAAAGGTTTCCTTTTGGTACCTTTGGTGTCATAAATGTGAGGTCTAAGGAATACAACCCCTCACTTTTCTATTATTTCCTATGGGAAAATTCACCTCGAGTCACACAAATACGACATACGACTCAAGGTTTCTCAGGAATGCAATATACGTTTAAGTCGGGAGTCTACTGTACCTCTTTAAAATGTTCTCTCACCATGGCAAAATTTACTTATTTCTACCAGAATCAGATAAACTATTTAAAGTGTGCACGTCAATCCACCACAAATGGTGTATAAAATTTGGTGTAAATCATTTACACGCAAATTTTGTAGAAAAAATGCACACAAAACCCCCCAACAAAAAAACTCCCAAAACAATCCTAAAAAAAGGCCTAAGACACATGAAACAATCTGTCCCATAAGATGCCTTGGGCCAAAACAAACAACATCAAGCCAAAACAGCAGAGGATAATACTGAAAAGACTTGGGACAACCAAGAAAAAAAAAAAAAAGCGTGTGGCCAAGAGAGTACAAACTCTGCACGTAAACAGACTTTCCAGCATTCAAAGAAAAATCCACAGATTTTTAGAATCCAAAGAGAAGAGCTTCAAGAGACACTTTCCAATAACTAATAGTGGAAAGTGACTGCAATCCCAGATTTTAGGGAAGTGTATGTGGCTCTGTAAACAAATCTTCATTTCTTCATGTTTTCTCCACAGTTTGTGGAAACAGCTACAAGAACATGGACTAGAGATGGAAAATAGGAAAAGTTTAAATAGATGCTCTCAATGCCTATTAGTTAATATTCAAAGAGGGGACCAGAGAAAGTACTTAAGGATCTGCTGAAATTAAATAAAGATCAATTTGATTAAAACAATGCATAGACTTTTCTCTACAATAAAACAACACATCAAGTGTTATTCTATAATCAGCTGCTAGAATATAAGTCAAGGACCAAAGTATACACTTAAAACTTTGGCTAAGTTCTCAACCCTAATGACATTCTGGTTGAGGTGTCACCAAATACAAGCACACACACTTCAGATCTCACAAATATCTAGCAACTCTCCTCTGAAAACTATGAAATTCTGATGGCAACACTACTATCTTCTACTGCCCTCTACTGTCTTCACCAAAAACCAGGACATGCAGCAAAACGAAAAGAAGTAATATTGCTTTGTATTTTTCCAATAAAATGCTAATTTTTTGTAGCATTTTAAACAGTGCTAAATACAGATGCATCTTATAAACAGATATACATTTTTAAAGTTTGAAATGTTTACTTTCTTCATATAACATAAAAACGGCAAGGTAATTTGAATTTAAATGTTAAAAATGCAACCACTGAAATGAGTCTGGGACCACTGACAGATGTTACTTTCAACTACCTTTCAAAGATGACAGAGGTGCCATTCAGTAGTGTGTACCAGCTGTTATAATACATCTGTTACAGGGCCATGCTCCTATAAAACAGCATAAGTTAGCTCAAAAAAATAAAATAAAAGAAAAAAAATGCTGCAACTTTAACCTGGAAGACAACAGAATTAAAGTTGCAATGGTTTGGCTTCATTTTTATTACTACTATAAGAAAAGGGAAGTCAACAGCTACATTGGAACAGATTATGTTTATGATTATGGAATGGGCTCCCAAGGGAGGTGGTGCTCTCCCCTACCCTGGGGGTCTTCAAGAGGAGGTTAGATAAGCATCTAGCTGGGTCATCTGAACCCAGCGCTCTTTCCTGCCTATGCAGGGGGGTCAGACTCGATGATCTATTGAGGTCCCTTCCGACCCTAGCATCTATGAATTATATAACTATTATTTGATACCAATATCTCTGTAGCATCTGTCGACACCTTCTATTTTAAAAAGCATTCATTTTTTTATGTCAAACATTTTAAAGGGGTCTTAAAAGCTAAAGAGAAATTCCGTCTCTTACAGATGCAATATTTTTCCCCACAGATACATTATGATATCTAGGTTGTCAATGCTCTAGCAGTAATCATCAAAAAAAAATCCAGACACATAAGTAAGAGAGGGATGAAAAGGTCATTAGTAAAGGCTTAGGAAAGTGAGAGACTAGGCATGAAGGAGGTAAAAATACATGCAAGGACCATTTTAAAATGAAACCACCTTCCAATTTCCATTAACTCTACCTTTTCTGCAGAACAGATTGCGAAATGTAGAACACACATAAGAACGCCCACCACTGTGCATGTCAATGTGTAGTTGGTAGCCATGCAGTCCATACTCTGGGTCAACATCATCCAGTATAGGTTTATGAGTAGGCAGGACATATCGTCTTAAAAGAAAGAATCAAGCAAGGAAAAAAATAAGTTGGCACAAAAGAAATGCTAAATAACCTCACTTGATACAATTTAATTTAAAAAAAAAACACAACAAAAAAAAAAAAACCTTAGTTTTGTTTTCTGGTTTGGTTTTTGTTTTACACACAGGTGTTCTGCTTTGCCATTTATATTTTGGAAGCTTACGTTGAGTTTACCATACTCCCTACACAGATCAATATCACACCATAAAAAGCTAACCACAAGCAACTAACTAAATTTACCACTGGAAACATTTCAAGTGCACACCTATAAAACTTCCATCAGATGGACTCTTCTACTGTAGCCACAGGTCTAAAAAAATATCATTTACTTCACTAGAAGAGCAGACAATGAAATAACCTGCCTGTGCGCCTGGTTTAGAGTACAATGGTGAATCTCTGGCTGCGTACATATGTTCAGAAGAGCTGAGAGAATTCTCCTAGTTTTTTTTTCTCCCCTGGCAGAAAACAAACCAACAAAAAAACCCTTACCCCAAATCCCCTGACCCAAGAGATTGTGAAGGGGCTCCCTGCTTGGCTGCAGCAACAGAGTCTAGCCTGAATTATGTTGCCTTTCTGGACCCAAGGGAAGCAGGCAGTACACTGAAAGCAAAGCTGGGGAGACAGAAGACTATGCTGCAACTTCTCTCAGAAACTAAGTAGTGTACACAAGTTCAGGCTCCAAGGAGAGACTTCCTATATTATTTTTCTTGTAGTATGGCAATTTTTGCTCTGGGAGAAAAATTTTGAATGTCTGTACACCTACGGTTTCTACTGGAAGAGCAGCTACTTTCAGTTTTTATGTGGAAGGTTGCCTCTGGCGAGAAGTAAATTTTTTCAGAAGTACATAAATGGACACAAGTTAAATCCAATAAGAGAAAACTAAATCACCTACACTTCTAATGATTTACAAAATCCCAACAAGGGTTGAAGTAGAAACAGTAGTTACTAGGTATGCTTTGTATGAAAAAAACAACCTCGACAAGGAGAAGCAAGCAAAGAGAAAGAATGTACAGAGAAAGGGGAAAAAGAAGCAGCTGCTTAAAGCCAACTGACAGTAATCACCATTTTGAATATTTTAAAATAGACAAAAGAAAAAAAAACACAAACAAGATGTCTGTAAAGATATATTATATACATGTTTAAAATAGAAACTATAAATCTAATAAAATTGAAAATGGCAAGGAGGAAGAGGGAGGGGGGAAAAGGTAAAGCTTTTGCAAAAATTGATCTTAAGCAATTCAGTTTATTATATACAGTAAGCACTTTTATGGAAGAGTGTGATTAAGTTTACAAGGCCTCTTTATTAAACGTAGTCCGGGGATGTTCTGGCATGAAAAATACTTCCTTTACTTTTTTTTTTTTAAGCCAGTTATTGTAACTGTAATGCGTAACAGCTCTTACTTCTCTGTGGAAAGCACTATCATTGATAATTAATGCCATAATAATAATCCTCCTTTACCACCAATTCATTTTAATTTTTCATACCTAATGCTTTATGTACAAGATTATACCTAGAATCCCACATACAAAGAGAAAGTGATACTTACATAGTGGAAGAGCCCAGTGTGCTTTTCTCAATAATTTGGTGATAATGAAGAGTTGCCACAATAAAAGCAATCTCATTCCCTTCCTGACAATTAATTAGAAGGAATACATTGCATCAAAAAGGTTTTCCCGAGCATCATTAAACCCCACAAAACATGCTACCTATTACGTCTCCAAGATCATTGCAGTATATTACAATTTTAATGATAGTTCAACAAAAAAGAGAGCACTTCTTACAGACTGGTACTATACATCACATCCAAACACAATAGTGTATAAACAGGGACCCAAGTCATGGCAAGACAACAGGTTTTTTGTAGTCCTGGCAGCCCCACCCCTCGCCACTCAATGGCAGTGTGCCTTCATCACTAGCTTTTTTTTTTTTTTTTTGGTTGATTTCACAGGAAAATCATAGCCAATGCCAGATATCCCAGCAACTGCAGATAATGCTGCTTTTCAGTTTCCATAAAATGCATAAACTGTAAGGTCCCTATGTAAAAAGAATAATGGCATCTGCATAACACTGCCAAGCCATGATATAGAATTCTCCTGTGTGGATATCAGTCACAAGATTCATTTTCGCACTTCATAAGTAACATAAAGAAAAAGGTGAATAAATAAAAAAAAAAAATTTAAATAAATAAAATCGCGGGGGGGGGGGGGGGGGGGAGGGGGGAGTGATTTGCTAAGTGCCTGGTCATCATTACAGAACCATAGAAAATTAGGTTTGGAAGGGACGTCAGGAGGTTTGCTAATCTAACCCCCTGCTCAAGGCAGGACCATCCCCAACTAGATCCCAGATGTGGCCCTCCATTGCCTAATAGAGAAGAAGAATTGCATCCCTTGATCTGCTGACTCGTACTAATGCAGTCCAGTATTAGATATTTAGTAAGTTATTAGCATCCAGGACTCTCCTCTTTGACAACTAAAGTGCTATTTAACACAACAAAGCACAGTAAAACATTACACTCTTAGAACAGCAGTTCTCTTGCATTGCTGCACTACACAAAGCAAACTGCTGCTCAATAGGTATCATTCATATCAAGAGCTATAGAAAGCCTTCAAAAAAAAAAAAAAAAAAAAAAATGATCAGGCCATTAATTTATTTATCACAGATTTACATACCTGAAACATGAATCAAAAGTAAAATTATTTGCTGTCACTTGCCTAAGCCTTTAGTCACTCTTAAAAAAATAACTTTAAGAAATGTAAATTACCCCATTCACCACAATGGCTTATTTACATTTCAGATCCATGACCATTTAAATGCCAACTGATTTAAACTATTTCAGAATCAAATACTGTAGTGCAGCAATGCATAGTAGTCAAATGCACTCGAGTCAGTCATCCTAACTGGGTTGGTAACAGGGTCTGCCACCCTAGAATCTACTCGGTTAGTGATAGAACTGCAGTTTTATATGGGGACAGGTGAAGCTAGCAAAAGCTCATCACCAGAGGTGCCAACTCAAGAACAATGCCAAACAGATCCAAGTTACCACTTCCTGTGTCCAATCATGGTCACAGGGTGGGGAAGGGGGAAGAAGGAAGGAAGAGAGAAAATATTACAGGTTGGTCATCCAGTCCAACATGGAGTGAGCCACATGTCCCATTCTGGAGTGTATAAGTAGGAGCGTGCAAATCAGGTAAGGAGTACGTACAGGGGGGAGAGAGAGATATCACAGGTACACCTCAACTCGAACTAATCACACAAGGACAATTCAGAAACACTGGCACATAAAAAACTGCAAGTGTACTTTAAATCGGAAAATAAAATTGAAGGCCAAAACTGAACATCAGATATCATGCTGTTGATATTCTATTTTATGGTGTATCGTATCAAAATAGTTTTTAATTATTTCAAAGAGTAAATGAAGGCATTGCAAAATTCAGGTCCAGCTAACCTGCAAATACTTGGAACTGTGACTGTAGATGGCTATTAGGATTCAGCGGTGATTTTGAAGCTGTTTCACTACCAGCATATGCATGTTGGAATTGACATTTGAGAGATTTTTTTTTTTACTTTATAAATGATTAAAACATATGCGAGAAAAAACAGTGTTTGCTAGGCAACCATAATAAATAACATACCATACCAAGGAATATCCTTACCTTCCACAGTCCCATTAGAAGCCCTGGATCCAGATGTAGAAGCTGAACAAGACTGTCCGAACCAATCACTGTAGGGGCTTTAGTCAAGTTAGTAAGATCATACTCAGCAATTAGGGAACACCACCGAGGTCTTTGACAAGGCATGGTAAAGTAAACAAAGACAGGATTGGGTCTTATTACAAAACATGAAAGTTCAGCCACTTTTCTCCCTGGATAATTAACAGCACATTACTAAGCAGTGTTCTAAAGGTGTTCAGCATACAAAGCAATAAAAATCTAACTTCTAGACAAAACACAGCCTGCTAGTAGGCTCCAAGGGCATCTTTGCGCATGTTCAGGGTGGGAGGGGGGGTACTTTAAATTAGAATAGCTCTCAGAAGCTGCTCTGAAGTGCCCACAGCATCATGTGTATTCAACATTCACATTTCAAAATGGTGGTGGGGGCACTTTAACTAAAGCTCACTTGACAAACTTTAGTTAAAGCACCATGGCAATTGTTTTGAAGCACGGGGATGCTGAATACACATGATGCTGCGGCTGCTGGGGTGTGCTAATTACATGCTCTAGCAGATTCGATTAATCAAGTCTGCTCTGATGCTTTACCAATTAGCACATGTTGGAACAGGCATCAGGCATGCGTATAAATGCTCTCAAAGCCTAGGTGAGAATTTAATAAGACTCATCACAAACCGATGTAACATTGTGAATAGGAAGCTCAAAATAGGACAGATTGATGTATTTGGGGAAGGAAACCTTATGACAGGATGCAGAAAAGGCTGAAGTGCTCAATGCCTTTTTTGCTTCAGTCTTCACAGGCAAGGTCCGCTCCCAGACTACTGCAATGGGCAACACAGTTTGGGGAGGAGGTGAGCACCCAGTGGTGAAAGTACAAGTTAGGGGTTACTTGGAAAAGCTAGACATATACAAGTTCATAGAGCAAGATGGGATGCACCTGAGGGTGCTGAGGGAGTTGGCCAATGTGATTAAAGAACCACTGACAATCATCTTTGAAAACTCATGGCAAATCAGGAGAAGGGCTGGACTGGAAGAGAGCAATCATAGTGCCCGCATTTAAGAAAGGGAAAAAGGAGGATCCAGGGAACTCCAGACCAGTCAGCCTCACCTCAGTCCCTGGAAAAAATCATGGTGCAGATCCTCAAGTAATCCATTTCTAAGCACTTGGATAAGGTGATTAGGAATAGTCGGCATGGATTCACTAAGGGCAAGTCATGCTCAACCAACCTGATAGCCTTCTCCGAGATAACTGGTTCTATGGATGTGGTGTGTCTTGATTTTAGCAAGACTTTTGATATGGTCTCCCACAAAATTCTCCCAGGCAAGCCAAGGAAGTATTGGCTGGATGAATGAACTGTAAGGTAGATAGAAACCTGGCTGAAGCATTGGGCTCTGTGGGTAGTCAATGGCTCCATGTCTAGTTGGCAGCCAGTATCAAGTGGAGTACCCCAGGGGTCAGTCCTGGGGCTGATTTTGTTCAATTTCTTCAAAGACTTAAAATGTGGCATAGAGTGCACCCTCAGCAAGTTTGCAGAAGACAAAGCTGGGGGAGTAGTAGATATGGTGGAGGTTAGGTCTAGGACTCAGAGTGACTTAGACAAATTGGAGGATTAGGCCAAGAGAAATTTCATGAGGTTGAGCAAGGACAAACGGAAAGACCTGCACTTAAAGACGGAACAATTGCATACACTGGTACAGGCTGGGGGCCAACTGGCTGAGCTTTGCAGAAAAGTACCTGAGGGTTACAGTGGGCAGTAAGCTAAATATAAGCCAGCCATGTGCCCTTATTGCCAAGAAGGCTAACAGCATGCTGGTCTACATTGGTTGGAGTGTTGCCAGTAGGTCAAGGGAAATGATTTCAGTACCGGTCAGGCCACATCTGGTGACTGTGTTCATTTTTGGGGCCCCCACTACAGAAAGGATATAGACAATTTGGAAAGAGTCCAACAAAGGGCAATGAAACTGGTGAGGGGGCTGGGGCACATGACTTATGAGGAGAGGCTGAGGGAACTGGGCTTATTTAGTCTGCAGAAGACAAGACTAAGGAGAGATTTAATAGCAACCTTCAACTACCTGATGGTGGGCTCAAAAAGAGGATGGAGCTAGACTGTTCTCAGTGGTTGCAGATGACAGAATAAGGAGCAATAGTCTCAAGTTGCAGCAAGGGAAGTTTAGGTTAGATATTAGGATGAACTTTCTCACTAGGAGGGTAGTAAAATGCTGGAACAGGCTACCAGAGAGGTGATAGAATTTCCATCCTTGGAGGGTGTCAAGACCTGGCTAAACAAAGCTGTCTCTGGGATGATCTAGTTGGGAGTGGTCCTACCTTGAGTAGCACATTGGACTAGATGACCTCTTGAAGTCCCTTGCATCCCTAATTTTCTGATTTAGTAAATTTCCTAAAGATTTTTGTAATAAATTTATTATAAAAAAAATGCTTTGGTACCAGATACAAACCATGGATTATTTTAAATAGGTAGTTTAGGAATGATGAACTTCCCTCCACAAAACTGATTCTGAAGAGAAACATCATTTTACTAAAGTCAGCTGGATTGGATATATTTTTGTTCCATGCTAGTTGGAATTAAAAGACTGATCCAGAATTATGATGGTAGTGGTGGTTTCTGATACTGTTGACTCCTGTCTTTTCAGCTCACTAGTGGGCTCTCTCAAGTATGTGTCCATTACCGCCTGTCAAAGAAGTTTCACAAGACACTGCTGGTTAATGCTCACTCTTCTCAAAACTCCTTATACGGAGGGCCCCATATTAGTACTCCTCCCAGTCATTTTGTTTTGGTTTGTTTAGGGAAAAAACAGGATACCACTAGGAGGAAATTACCACCCCAAACATATCCTAATCTCATCAGTATTCAGATAATGTCCATCTTAAAACATTAAAGTCTCTCCTCTCTCTCTAGCAGGGTCTCTTAAAAAAAAATATCATCATCACCACCACCACCAGCATGAGCAATAATAAATACATTTATTATATTCATCTCTCACACGGACAAATGTTTGCCTGACAGATCAAGGCAACTTTTTGGGATGGAACCCTATACGCGTCCTTTTACTCCATTTCAGATTCCAGAGTCTTAGCAAGTCTCCCAATGTCTGACCAAGGACAAGGATCTGATGAAAACAAACAGGAAGCAATTCAACCTGATAAGGAAGGGATCCTTCTCAGAAAAGCAGGCATTTAGTAGGAACAAGCCAAAACAGAGCCTGAACTGAAGAGAACTAGTTTCTGCTAAAAAAGTTTACAGCCTCAGCAGCCAATTAGATCCAAAGTTGTATCTGGATTTCCTCATAGTAGTTGCAGTATTCACACGTTTGGTGAAAGGTAACTTTGTTACCCACACTTTGGCAAACCCCAGCTTGACTACTGCCATATGATTGTCCTTAGTGGCTATTCAGAAGCTGCAGAATGTTACAGAATTAGAAAAGGCTTCCCACCTCTCAAGTGGTTGACTCGTATGAACACAAAAAAGACATCTCAAATTTCTGAGTTTTATTTTATTTTTTGGTAAAGAGATCTATGGAAACCAACCTTCAGTCATACTGAGTTTTCCAAACACAAATATTTATTGTAAACAGCGCATTAAAAATATAGTTTCACACTCACTGAACAAATAATACTATCTTGGATTATTATAACTACCTAAATAGAAAAAAAGAACTGCTCTCACTAAGTTTTGCATTTGCTTTCTCCCAATTTCCCATTCTGTCTCATATTTGTCAGTGTTTAGGAATAACTTCTCCAGGGCAGGAACTGTCTATTCTTAGGATTGAAGGGAAGTAGGGCTGGAAGAGACCTCATGAGGTCATCTAATCCATCCCCCCCAACAAGGCAGGATCATCCCTGACTAGACCATCCCAGCCAAGCATCTAATTCACCCACTCTTGAAAAATGTCCAAGGATGGAGAGTCCACAACTTCAGGAGGTAGCCTGTTCCAATGCTTGACAACCCTCATGGCAGGAAAGTCCTTGTAGTGGGATCATGGATGTTTGCTTAGCTCAGTCTTTAAATTTCATGCAGACCTATATTTCCTGGGCACACATGCCTCAGGAATATCACAGACAAATCAGCACTCAATGCCACAACATAACATAGTCCATACAGGGTTCCCTCAGTCCTGAGTCTTCTCCAGAGCCTGAGAAGGTGCCTGTGGCTTCCTACTGCTCTCTGTCCAGAGTCTTCCATCACAGACAGTCTTCGACTCAGTTCCCTGACATGATGCTGCTGCTTCCAGCCTTGTAGCCCCTGTGCTGTCTCCAAGACCCTATGAAAGGTTTCTCTGGCTCACTGCTGCTCCTTGCCTTGTAGCCTTCTCTCTCACCCTGTGGTCTTTTCCAAGACCCAAAGAGGGCTACCTCAACTCTATACTGCATGTCTCTCCCCTCAGAGTCTTCCCTTCTCTTCCTGGCTCTCCTGCCTCCCCCTGGGAGTCTTGCTCTTAGCTCCCTTCTCTGGAAGCCCTTTAGCTAATTACCTTTCTCATCTGTCCTAGTTCTTCTGGTAGCTTGCAACCAGGTCTCACTACCCACAGCTAGGCTGTAGTCCCTGCAAGCCTGTAGACTCCTACACCCTAGTATGTCCATGCTGCTGCAAGCCTCTGCCAACCAGCCACTGCAGTCCTCCTAGTCTCCAACCTGAATTTCTTTTGGTGCATCTTGAAGCCATTGGCCCTAGTCCTATATCTATGGCCAAAGAAAAAAGGTCAATCTCCCCACTTTCTATGATCTCCAGTGAGGTATCTGAAGACTCTTATTAAATTCACTTTTAGTCTTCTCTTCTCTAAACTAAATAACCCTAGTTCTTTCATCATAAAGTCTTGCTTCACAGACCCCTAATCATTTTTGTCCCTTACACTAGACTCTCTCCAATTTGTCCACATCCTTCTTCAAGTGGGGGGGCCCAAACGTGGACAGTACTCCACGTGAGGCCTCACCAGTGCTGAATAGAGTGGAAGAATCACATAGCTCAATTTGCAAGTGACAGTCCTGTTAATACAACCAAACTTGCCTTGTTGCAAAAAGAGCACCCTGTTGGGTCATACTCAGCTTATGATCTACCATAACCTCCAGGTGCTTCTCTGCAGTACTATTACCTAGCTACTCATTTCTGCACTTGAGATGGAATAGTTGCATGCATAGATACAGACTGGGGATTTTGCACTTGTCTTAGTTTAATCTCATCCAATTGATTGTGCACAATTTTTGCAGCCTAATCAGGTCAATCTGGATCCTAGCCCTACTGTCCAAAGTATCTACATCTCCACTCCAGGTGGTGCCAGCTGCAAATTTGTCAAGTATGCACTCAATCCAGTCATCCAAGTCATTAATGAAGATACTAAGCAATATCGGACTCAGGACAGACCCTTGGGGAACTCCACTTGATACTTCCTCTCAATTAGACATTGAGCCAGAGGAATACTCTTCGAGCATGATGATCCAACTAGTTATATATCCATCTTACAGTACCGTCATCTAGTCTGTATGTCTTAGGTGGTTATAGAAAATGCCAATGAAAGAGTGAAAAGCTTTGCTAAAAGTCAAAATATACTGCATCCACTGCTCTCCTGCCATCTACAGAGCCTGTCCCCTTATGAAAGAAGGGGATCAGGTGGGTCAGGCATGACTTGTTCTTGATGAATCCATGCTGGCTGTTCCTGATCATCTTGTTCTCCTTTAGGCATTTCACAAGAGATTCCTTGAGGTCCTGCTCTATGTTCTTTCCAGATAATGAGATCAGACTAAGTGGTCTAAGTCCCTAGGTCCTCCTCCTTCCCTTTCTTAAAAGGGAGCTTTATATGGAAATGCAAATAGATAACACTTCCTTTAATTCTGATATTGATTTCTCTATTCGTCCTAAAAGCACACCAATGAATAACAGTACTTTGGTTTCTGAGGAAATGCTGTAGGTGGACTTAGCTAAAAAAATTAATTCACTGTTCATGTCAGTTTGAGATTCAGCAATTTCCACACAGACAGAATCCACAATATTTCATTATACAGTATAAAGAATATTTAAACTCACCCATTCTTGGTTGGAACCTTGCATCGGTTGAGCAGCAATGGTGTCATGCCACATAATTCCAGAGTTGACAAAGTGTCTAAACATGGCCAACTGGTACCATACCAATATACAGTAACAGACGTGTCATTAAAAGTAATGTCCACCTGCTCCACTACATGCTCCTTTCCCTTTCTGTCCTTCAGTATGACCACCCAGCTCAAATTAGATGCTCTGTTATTGGGGAAGTGAGAAAGAAAAGGTTTCAAAATGACCTGTCAAAAGTGACAAGAATGATATATGGAACTTTGATACTCAGTCAGCAGCATGCCCTGGAATTTCTAGAAGCACAGCATGTTTGTTTCCTGTTCTGATCAATGGAAAAAAACTAAGGTGGCTTCTTCAGTGCAGAAAAAATTATGTATTTTCCCTTCACTTTCATTAACTTATCTACATTCTTAGAGCTAAATCACAGAGATAAGATACTGATAGCACCTTATGTTCCCCCCTACACAGAAAAGACACAGATTTACTACATAAATATTCTGTACATGGCTTAGGGGCAAACACACTTTATGACAAAACACTGCTTACTTTATAGCTTCCTTGCTTTTAAGAGGAAGGCCAGTGTAAAGGTTTATAGGTCTGAGAAGTTGAATTATTCCGGTTTTGGTAACTGCTTTGTGTTTCATAATGTATTCCTTTTTCCAGTACCCCAATTTTCTTTCCTGGACTGTAGCATGGCTCAGTGAGACAGTAGTTGTTTCTATAGACTCAGTTTTCCAATTAAGTATTTTACATGGAAAAGAAATGGAATATTTTTTGAACCAGATGACACTGTGAGAAACAAAAATAAAAAGTAATGAAAATAACAAAAGGCAAACAAAATTAATGGCAAAAAGAGTTATTATAAATTAAAAGAACATGCTAAAATATAAATCCACTTCCAACAAACAGAAAAAAGCAATTGCATGTTGATCTCAGCTATTGTTGACAATCTCATTAATAAAAGTTATTGTCCAGGTCTAAAATCTAATAGGGCTTTTCTTTTGGTGAACAAAAGGGAATCCCAACTATAACAGAAGTCCCAATATCCATATTTTACCTCAGTGGCTGATATCCCTCCATATTTTCACTACCCCTTCCTTTAAATTTGTCCCTAAATGCAAAGGTGTTATTTGTGCTGCATTTCCCTATTCTTGGCCTCAGACTGCTCAATGCCAGACCTGTTCTCTTTGCCCCTAATTTTATCCCTGAGAATTCCTCTTTTCCAATATCCAGAAAGTTTTACAAATACTGTATTATACAATTAATCCCAGCTGTACCCAATGGGATCAGTAAGGCAGCAAAGTTAAAGTATTTGCCTACTATCTAAAAACTCCATTTCAGGGCCAGGATTAAGACTTGAAACCTCCCAATGCCTAGTCTTATGCCCAGAACACTACTACTCCTTTGCAGGGCACAGATAGATGAGACACGTTCTCCAGAGTTACTTAACTCAAATTTTACTCAACAATGGGTGCATCTACACGTGCATATTAACATGCAGCCATACAACTCCAGCACATATGCCAGAGTTGACTGCACCTGGACGTCACATTTACATATGCATCTGGGACCGCAGCACATTGAGCTGGGTCAGAGCAGCCCCAACTGCCAGGAGACCAGGGTGGGGGGCTTCTTCAACCTGGCTCAGCATGCTGCAGAGCGGCTGGGTGGAGCACAAGGGGGCTTCAATGCGGGGGTAGCCAGTGGGCAGCCCCTGCACTGAAGCACCCTCGTGTCCCAGCCAACCCCATCAGCATCTACCATTTGTACTGCAGCACACACACGCACAGAAACTTCAGAGCAGGATAATACTTGTATTTACAAATATTAACCTGCTGCAGATTTTATTAGTTTTCTTGTGGCTTAATAGGGCCGCACATGTAGGTCCTGAGACATTTACTACAGAGTTAATTGGGCAACACCGCAGTACACATCTCATGCCCAATAAGTTTACTCTGTAATAAGAAGCAAATACATAAATAGCTCTCCCAAGCAGTTTGCCCGAAGTATGCACTCTTACAGTGCCAAGCCACTTGGCAACAAGGAAGTCGGTTTGCACTGAACAAATGGGTACTCTAGAATAAAACTGACAATAGTCCAGACACACAACAAGTATTTCCAGGATCCTCAGAAGCAACTTCATGCCAAAAACAGCATTTCCTCTAGGACACACGTTGTGTTATTTGCCTGTTTCATTTTTCTTCTGAAGTAAATTGATGCGATTGCAGGCATGATTCAAAAGTAATTGATAAAGGGATGTCTGCCTGCACTGCAGATTACTTCAGATAACTCAGAAGTATGGACTTCCCCACCTCACTAATTTTATTGGAGTGTCAGCTCTGAAATCCCATGACAGCAGTTCAGCATCAATATTAATCAATTTCTCTGCATTTTAATAAGTGGACTGGGAAACGTGTTAGGGCAACGGGCAGCACTAGTGGGGGCCTACGAAGGAGAGCCAAATTTTCTCACTGAGAAATATTGAATGCCACCAAATACCAGACAAACAAGGCCTACAAACTTCCAATTACTTCATGCATACAATGCCCTGCAACATGACAAAAATACTTGGGCAAAAAAGCAGGCACCTAAAAGGACCAAAAATAAGTAAATAATAAAAATAAATAAAAATTCTGATGGCAGTCTGTGCTAGTGTCTCTAAATCAAAGTACACATGGATCTTACAGAGCAGTAAATGCTTAGGGATATATTTTCAAAGCAATGCGTTTGGCTTTAGCCACGTAACTTCTATTAACATGAATAGGACTTCCACAGCTAGAACTCCTTAAAATAATTTGCAATACAACCGAAAAATAGCTAGCAGGTAGTTACATCAATTGTCTGGCATAAATGAAACCAAATTAAAAAGGCTCAATTTCATACAGTCAAAATAATTATGTGAGACCACTTTATGAGTTTTCCCCGCTTCCTTACTTGTCATTGGCCAGATTATAAAAGCGCCGATTCACACATCCGATACACAACAGGGTTACAGCATCCAAATAAGAAAGTATTTTCAACAATATCTCAGATGGCATACTGGAAGAGAAAAAAAGTGGGGGGCAGTGGGATGGAAGCAGAAGAAATGTTGCTAGACTTATCCACAAAACTACAAGGATGACAGTGACTAAAGCCTTTAACCCCCAAGTAGAAGAAAGTGAATGTAAAGAGAAAGTGAGGCTACCAGTTCATAAATACACATGTCAAACCCGTCTTCGTAAAAAGCCATTTTCTTACATCTTAAGCACTAAAACCTGCAGTCTTTATTAGTTTTGCTTTGTTTCTCCCATCTAGAAACCTCTATATAAAGCACTTCACAACAGCCTACCTGAGTGATAGAAGATGTTAACAACAAACCTAGTTTCTTGAGTTTCATGTTACTATGGTGCACCTGAAGCCAATTTGGATTTTGAAAACAGTAACAATTCTTTTAAATGACATTAAATTATATTGCTCAACATCAGGGTTTTCGAACTTACTTGTATTATGGCTCCACATTTAGTGACTCGCAGTTCTTGTTAAATGTATCCCAGAATTTGCATGCGAACACTTAAGAGCCACAGTCAAAAGTTAAGTCTGAAAATTCACCACCAGCTAAAGCACCCATAAATCACCCTCTCACCTCTACAGTCAAAAATGTATTCATAAAAGGTCTGACTCAACTCAATGGATGTCAATGGAAAGAGCACCAATGATTTTAGTAGGAGTTGTATTTCCATTTTCCACTAGAAGGAAGGTGATTATCAGGGCGTAGAAGTGACAACGTTCACCCAATCTATCTCTGGTACAGAAAGCAGTCAATAGCCATGACCAAGTGCACAGCTGCAGACCACTTGAAAAATGGCTGATCAGGTGAAAGACTGAACCCTCATTCCATGCAGGGTCAGATGAAGAAAATACAAAACAGCATCTTCAGTAACTTCTGTCTGCCTGCCTGCCTCCAAGCTCTTTTCAAAATGGGAGGTGAGAAGGAAGCAGAGGGAGTTCTGGCTGGGGTCTTTTCAGCTCTTGCTAGAGAGTGAGGCAGATGTATTGGAGCCCCCCTGAGGTGGGGGAAGCTACAATTCATCCACTCCACCCTCCATTGCCATCTGGGGAACCCCTAGAACAAGCCCCCTCTGCCCCCCCCCTCCAATTCTGAAAACAGCCGGGGCTGGAAGGAGGGGCCATTGCTAAGGGAAACTAGCTACAGGCTGGCCGCCAGCAGCCAGCTTCACCTCCCCACTGGAGCCAACAGTCAACTTCTGTTTGGTCCTAGGGACCATTGCAACTCAGAGCACTTCCTGCCAAACATTCCGAGTTACAGCGGGGATTGGCACTTCTGTCTGCACCCTCAAGCTATTCAGACTGAAATGTAGGCAACTTCCCTGAAATCCCAGGGCACCTATATACATGCAGCAGGGCTGCTCCAATGGGCTGTAATTACAGTGCGTCAGCACAGACTCAATTAAATGGAGGCTGCTGGTGCATGGTAATTACCATACATGTGACACTGGAGTCTGGAGCATCAGCGTCCATGAGCTGAAAAATGGCAGCAGGGGTGCTTTAACTAAAGCTCATTCAACAAGCTTTAGTTAAAAGTACCCCACCGCCATTTTTCAGCGCATGGACACCGATACACATGACACTTCAGGTGCATTAATTAAGCAGTAAGCTGCTCTAATTAGGCCCCCCCACTCCTGGAACACATCTATGAAACACCTACATTGGACTGCATGGAAGCAACAGCAATAACAGACTCCATACAGTCCATACCCAGGGTGCTAAAGGAACTGCCCCTGCATACATCCTTTGTCTAGGATGCTCTTATTGTAACATTTGTGAACAGTGCAAATATAAATAAACATTTTATTTCCTCACTTTTCCAGTCTTCGTAATACCATGGTTTCAAAGTGGCTGCTCAAAGCTAAGAGAAATTGATTCTGTGGCCCAAGTTTCTCCTGTTCCCAGTGGACTGAGAAAATCAATTATGAATCCTATTTTAATCAGCTTTGGTTTTTTCAACAGCATTTGTATGTATAAACTAACTGTTTGATCTCATAACATAGGACCTCCTAAAAAAAATACAAGCTGACAATGCTAGAGGGACATATTAAAAAGAGAAACCAAGGTCTAAATTACACCTACAATATATAAGCACATCAATAGCCACATACATGTGCAATTATATCAGTGGTGTTTGCCAACAGCAGCCAGTATATTGGCTCCAGTTACAATTTGGGGATAGAGACTTGAAAGCATGGCTTTCAAAATGACAAAAATCAACTCCATATTCAGAAAGGTACAAAAATAATGGCCCCTACACCTGCTCTAGAGTCCACTCGTTGATGTGGGTTTTTACAAACTTCATTTTCCCATGTTCTTAAACAACAATATTTTTCTTCTTCACTGTTTGCCTTTCATGCAGCAACAGAGAAGGGGAAGCAACTTAGATATAGCAATGCAGGGGGAAACAAGGAAAATGGTTGAACAAAAAGTACTGAAATGCAAGTAACAAAGTGAACTACATTTCTTTACTTTTTCGGTCACAATAGTCTCATATGGTATTTGCAACAATAAAGTACGTGAGGGAAACATGTTTAGGTTGAAAATGTCTCTGATATCTCCAGAAACAGTGATTCAGTCATGTCTTTAGGAGCTGTTCTGAAGCAAGTGATGAGGGTGACAATCTCTCCCCACCCCACTCTAGCATGCTAAAACTCCCTATGACAAAACATTTGGCATGAAAGGCACTTGAAATTTTAGTTGTAAACTCTGTCTTTCTAAACTAATATTTCAACAACCTTGATTGTGAGAAGCCATGTAGCCCACAAGTTGCAGGGGGTATCTAAGCAAGTTATTATGACATGCAGAACTTGTAATAAGGGTGATAAAGCTTAGGGAAGGGCTGAGCCTGACAATTAACACTGTTTAGAATGCAATGTGGCTGGTAAAAAAACACATCTTTTCATTTTTATATGAAGGCCATTTGATACAGAGATTTCTAAGACACCAATATGGAACCTCTTTAGTAAGTTTTTTAAACACTGGTTTAAAAAGAGTTAAGCAGCTGCCACACTCACCTCTCAATGCACAGACAAGATGTTGAAGCTGCAGAAGATTTGTGACATTGTCTTTGAATATGCACATTTTGGGTACCAGGCATTTTCAAAGGCACAGCAGTGAAGGTTCCTGACCTCTTACTATAAAGATAAAGTTGTTAAGAATCACATGATCATCAACTGGAGACACACATTGCAGCAAAGATGAAAAACCCTGTGCTTAACAAATAAAACAAGATTCAGAAGAATGTGCTTACATGATCAGTTTTTCACTTCATAAATGCTTTCAGTAATTGAGTTACTTATGCTGATGAGATGAAGAGAGCCTTAAAAACTATAGCCCTCTTATGATCATTTTCAGATCAGCCACTACTTGTGCCAAGATGAACAATACCTTAGCAAGATCAGATTGGTTTTTACTTCAATGGGGACAACTCATTCACCCCATTACACAACAGTTCCACAATGGCCAATGCGAGTTCCAGAAAAGTCCTTGCAAAAACTGGTCATGCAGCAAAACAGAAGATACACACCAAGACATTTTTGCCACCTAACTTCATTAAGCTAGTGAAACATGAAAAATCAGCTTAACTTCTTTTAAAAGTTAACAGAGCCCATGAACAATTCCACAAAGCCATAAACCAGCTCCTATTTGAAACATGCAAAGATATTCTAACCTTAACACCGAATTTTGTTTAACATAATACTTGGTGCAAGTTATTCAAATACGAAGTCTCAAAAAAGGTGGGCATCACTGCTACTTTTCCTTATTTATTAAAGCACTAGAAAGTTGTCAAAAAGGGCTTTGTTGTTCCAAGCATAACTATAAAGCTACATATGCTAACCTACTACATATTTTATACTTGAAGTTTCCAAGACAGCAAGAGCATTTATCTTGCATATCATAATGTCTGTAATTATCTCCAGACTATCACAAAACCGGGGGGGGGGGGGATGACACACAACAGAAACTTAATCAAATTTTGGCCCATTGTTTCTATGAAGCGCCATGGGGCAGTTCTCTCTATTATTGCTCCCAAGTTTGGATTGCCGGCTGATATTCAAACATATGGTCAATCCAACTCTGTCTCTCCAGGAAATCAACTGCAGCTGGAGAGGTGTTAGGTGCCCAGGGGTCAATAGGACATTCAATATACACAGGACATAAAAATTAAATTTTGTGCTTAGAAAGAAGTAAAAGTCAGTTGAGGAAAAATAGATCTTTGACCTTATCAACTGTATAAGCTACTATTTCATCATCCTAAAAACCCCTGAAGTCTTATTGGGAACAATTACAAGCACATTTTTATCTTCATATTAAAGCTGTACCCTGCACACTTCATATAGCAATCCTGTAACAAACCACCATACTGTAATTGGTAATAAAATTCCTAACTATATTTCATACATGATCCTTAAGGTCAGACATACTATTATTGATAAATAATTCTGGATCACAAGCTGACATTTTAGATTATAAAAGACAGATGTCACTTAGTCTTTCCAAAGCTGCTAAGCAACTAGATTGCAGAATTCCACCTTCTGCACAAAATTATCGATACTTTTTGTCTAGACAAATTTAATTATATTAGCTCTGATGAAACAGCATTAAAAGTGTCCTTTTATGTTCTTTCAATTTCTGAGGAAGGATTTTTTCAAAACGCAAGAGAGCACAAGTCCCATTGAACAATTAAACTTCTTTTTCCAAATCTCATGGGTACTTCTAAAAGTGATACACACCATTTTTACATCTATCCAAAGCCTTTGTTTTTAAAGGCTTGTATTAAGTTTCCAATTTTTTTTTTTGCTATTCAAAAAGAAATGGTCATATTACCCTGGATAACTCTAAATCTTCATGGCTTGAGCACGTCAGAAGTAAGCCCTTATACAATGAAAGTTAATTAAACAAAAACCCCAGAAGTATTATATTCACCTTTGAGTGCTGCATAGGTAGATTTAAAGTCTCTTTTGAGAGACGTATGAAAGCCAGAACAGTAAAACAATTATGTCAACTAATTAACCCTATTTCATAACCCTATTACATATTTCATATGTAAAAGGATGTGAAACCAGATGTAAAACAAAAATTTTCATACATGACAAAGCTGACTTGCCCAACTGAAAGGCTTACAATGGCTGCTACTTCCCTCCCTCCCATACTCCCATTCTTAGAGGCCTCATATAGCAACCCAAATGGCAAAAAAACCTCAGTGGCTTTTTCATTAGCTGTTCAGCTTGGGGCACTCAAGTTTCACAGCTATATTTTTCACTTGAATATGCCAAAGAATATGCGAAGTGGATACTGCCTTTTTGCAAGTCCAGTAAAGTCTCTTTCAAGGAATGCAGCAACTTGCAATTAAAGTTATAACAGTAGCAATTCCCCTTCCAATTTTCATTTAAACACTCTTATAACCCTACTTTGAATTTATATGCCACATTTCATCCAGTGACTTTGAAGTGCTTTACCAAGGTGGGCACTGGCACTTTATCTTACAGGAAGAAAAAACTGAGGCACAGAACGGCTATCCAGTTTGCTCAATATAACATAAGAGGGTAAAAAGAGAACCCAGATACATTGCCTTGCTGTTACACCAGTGTCCTCTAAACTTTTGAAAGCTGAGTCCGATACCATAAAAGTTAAGTTAGTTGTACCTTCCAACATTACCAATAGCTGGTAGAATTTCAAAGCTAGGCCCATCCTAAATGTATACTTCTTCCATGCCTAGCTAATTATTTGCACTCAGACTTCCACCCTTGTCCCTCCCATCTTTTAACTCAAGCTCTTACCTTGGTTTTGCCCCTGGCCACCCATATACAAAAACGGTTAACCCAGGCAAGACTCTTTGCCTGGCTGAGGATATGGGTTAAACCAAGTTTCATTTCAATATGTGCATTTACACAGCTGAAGCTCAAGCTCTGTAACCAACTGTGACAGTTCTCCAACACTGCCAACACAATTCCCTAGAAGCTGTGTTTTCTAGCCCTTCTACCTACATGGTTGGTATGGTGTGGCAGAAGCTACCTGTTAATTTATATAAGACCTTGGCAGTAGTTAAACCCCCATTTTGTTCAGCCTGCTTCAAAATCTGATTTTCGCAAACTAACTTCATCACAAGCACATTTAAAAAAAAAGGCCTGTAAATAGAGGGCATCAGGCAGACAAATCATTGTTGGGACAGAGAACTAAAACCTCAAGAGCACTTACCACAGAGTAACAGATACCAACAGCATTCCTGGCAACCTACTGTAGTGCCTATGAAATAGAGTTTAACCAGCTGTTTGGTACCACCCTAGGTAGAGTCATGTGCAGATGAACTTTTGAAACAGAACGGTCTGACTTTTTTAGGCCAGGGACAGTAGTACCAGAGGAGACTTCAGTTTAAAGGAAATAGTAAGGCAAGAAGTGCTACTGGCCTGGAACAGATCCTGCACCTAGGGCAACAGGACAACCTTAAGCCAAATTCCACAGATCTATTAAAAGTACTTAAAGATGGAACCAAGAAGAGACTTCAAAACTGGGAGCACAGACGCATTAAAGGCAGCCACTATCTCTGTTTGTGTTACAGGAAGAATAGAAATACATGCTAAAAACACTCTCCAATGTGTGACCAATAAAATTACTACCACACAGTTTAGTACATGATAGAGGGCATACTCTGCCTCAGCTGAAGGCAAGAGTCAACACACACTAATTGCCCATCTTTCCATAATGTGCAATACACAGTTATTACAACAATGTCTTGCTCAGTCAGCTTTTTAATTTAAACTATAAATTTAAATGGCAATGAAAAATCAAGAGATCCTTTTAAAAATAGCAAATCTTGTTTCAGGTGAGAGACAAGTATTTCTTAGAGTGATATCTTTTATTGGACCAACCACGCATTCTTCCTGTACCAGAGACCTGAGGAAGAATGCCAAAGCTTGTCTAACTTTATCCCAATTGCACAGCTGATCCAATAAAAGTTAATCAGCCTAAAAAATCCTGGCCCCTCACAATTCCTGGATCATCATGGCTACAATCTCACTCCTACACTACCATGTTTAAAACGAAATCTGGATGCAATGCAAAATTCAGGCCAACACTCATCACAAACTTTTAGAGGCGTAAATTAAAAATGCAGCATCCATGAGCCTCTATCAAAGACAAAGGCTGCGTAGTACTCTACCTAAAGGAAAGAATTACCTGCATAAAAATATTCACTTTTGATGTGAAGCTTTACGTAAATGGTACAACAGATGATACTAATAAATTCATTAGCTCCTATGTGTGCTGATTGGTTCAGTTCTCACATCATGATTCACCCCACCATGGCAACTTATTCTGTGAGCTGGCCAGAAAAACACCGATCTACCAAACAACTACCAGTTCTTATTTCAGGGGGTGAGGTAACAAGCAGCAGGGAGCCTGGGCTGCAAGACACAAAGTACCCAATTTCTGGAATATTTTTTAAAAATTCTATGCCTCTTGATAAAAAAGGAAATACATGCTGAATATGAGCAATACAACAAAAAGATGAAAGGCTTAGCTGTGAGAACAAAACAATTTTAACAAAAACATTATTCAGAAGGCAATGACTTTGAAGATGAAGGATTCTAAATATTACGCCAGTGAAACTACAGACTACCCTTTCAAACAAAGCAGAAAAGACTGCAAAATGCTTCAAAACAAAGCTTGACAAGTTTATGGAAGGGATAATATGCTAAAATAAAGGTGGTCCCAATTTAGTAACTGGCTTATGCAATATGCCAAGTTCTGGCACGGATCTTTGAGAACTCCTGGCGTTCTGGTGAAGTGCCCGATGACTGGAAGAAGGTCAATGTGGTGCCTATCTTCAAGAAAGGGAGGAAAGTGGATCTGGCAAACTACAGGCCCATCAGCCTGACCTCTATCCCGGAGAAGGTCTTGGAAAAGATTATCAGAGGCCATTCTTAACAGACTGGCCGATGGCAATATCCTGAGGGATAGCCAGCACGGGTTTGTTGCAGGTAGGTCTTGCTTGACCAATCTCATTTCCTTCTACAACCAGGTGAACTATCACCTGGAAAAAGGAGAAGAGATTGATGTCATATATCTTGACTTTAAAAAAAGCCTTCAATCTGGTATCCCATGATCACCTCTTAGCAAAACTGGCTATCTGTGG